CAGTCTTCCAAGGTGCAAACCCTCCTCCTCCTCCTGAAGCTTGTGGAGCTCCTTCATGTACTGCTGTCTTATCTGCTGGCCATCTTCTCTCAGCAGAACTTCGACTGTTGAAATGTCATTCAGAAGAAGCTTGAGCATGTGACATGGATCCAGGAGAACATGGACTTTAGTGAGAGGTCTTCAGGATGGCAAAGAAAGAGAGAAAATATCAGTTATTCATTAAATCATCATTATTTTTCTGTATTCATCTGTGTGTAAGAGCACATTTATAAATTCAACAGTGTACTACCCAGACAACAAAGGTACAGTATTCAGGTAATCAACATCTATTCAAAGTTAAGAAGATAAACATTATTGTAATCATGCTGTTTTCAGCTCTCTCACTCACACAATGATATTCCACATCAAATTGTCTCAGATTTTGGTGAGGAAAAATTAAGCAGTTTATTGTGGATAGTACTTCATCTTAACATGAAACAAATATAACCTGAATTATTTAAATCATTAACAGGTCCCAACTCTCTGTGCTTTAGTACAGAACATACAGTAACTCATTTATTATTAACATGAGCTCAGTACATGGCTGTATTCTTCAAACTATTTCTTATACTTTATATCTATGTGCTTTATATCTTATTTTCATTCCATATGTTATTTATATTTTATATTTCTACAGCTATATTCTGTGTATGAGTTCAGTGAAAATTAATATGGTTATTAATATAGTTCTTAATGGTTACAGATGCTCTTACAAAGTGATTTTTGTTAACAGTTTGCTCAAATCTTAAGACACTACATCAACCATGTAACTTTAATGTCATCCTCTATAACCTACACAGCACATTAGGTTCAGTTCAGTTTATGTTACTGACGGATAATTACTACACAAAGTTTGTTTTTTAATGTCCACATTTAGGTGGAGTATAACATTCATCATAACGTCAGATAACCACCGAGATGAACCTTTAGCTTCTAACATCACACAAACTCATTATTTTCAACAACAACATCTTAACAAACATTTCTAAGCCATTGACTGTAAATAATGTAAATAATGTAAATAATGTAAATAATGTAAATAATGAGCTACACAGTTAGCCGACTGGTTTACAAGCTAACTCTAAACAAGCTAGGTCCGTTTATATAAATATAAACACATGAGTAAGCAGTAAATATAACACTACTATATCACTTACCGAAGAAAACTGAAGCATCAACTTGTTGGATGGTCTGTTAACCGCACAGCAAGCCATGTATGTTGTCAGATATGTGTTAAACAAACTCTCCAAACGAAGTAAGAAAGAGGAGAAATCAGACGGATCAAGCTGTTAGCCTCCTGACCTGCTGACCGCGCAGAGCTGTCAATCAAATCTGACACAACCCTAATATGGGCATAGTCGTTTTCCTTAATAGAATAAAATCCGATGAGTTATAAAAACATTCACCCCCCCCCACAGTGTGAGGAGAAGGGGCCGTCAACTTCTCAGATATATCTCGTTTTTTGAACCAGGCTGTAAACATGTTGATTCCTGTGGTAAAAACGGGCTTTTTTGGCTGTGGGCTTATGGCACTTCCGGCGCTTCTGCAGCCAGCCTCAAGAGGAACCTCGAGGAACTGCAGTTTTTTGTACTTCCGCATAGGCTTCATTTTTCCAGACCGGAGGTTGCCCCTTGGTTATGACACATCTCCAGGATAGTGTGTGGTTTCAGTTACTCTCATGTTTTTACATCTTGTGTTTTTGACACTTACCCTGCATCTCGTTTCAGATCCTTTGCTTTCTTCTACTCTCACCTGTGTCTCCTGCGTCTGTGATTACCTGATGTGTCTCACCTGTGTCTAGTTGTCTTCGCTCCCCTTGAGTATTTAGTCTCTGTGTTTCCCTCCTTCTATGCCAGTTCTTCTTGTTCCCTCATGACAACGTTCCAGCTTTCATTGTGTATTTTTCCGATTATTATTCCGACCTTTTTCTGTATTTTCTGACCTGCCTGTTGCCCAACGTTTTGATTACCTCTGCTTGTGATTTAGATTCCCGTGTACTGACCTCCCCTCTGATTAAACAGACTTTGTATCTTCTCTAAGTGTGTTTGGATTTGTGCATTTGGGTTCTTAGTACAATTGTCACATTGCAGGAAGTCACATGACTAGAAATACGTCATGCTGACACTTTTGTGTTGCTAGATGGAAAACCAAATCTCCCAAATGACTTTTTTCTGTTTAGGCCAGGCTTACACTCTGCAAAGTCAGGCTGTATCCGACTCAAATGTTTGAGTCCGATGCACACTGGACTCAAATGTTTGAGGCCTTTTTCTCCTAAGTGGCAGCCGAGGACACGACTGCATCTGTCAGTCTTCTTCAGAGAAGATGAAGCTGGTCTGAAACATTTCACTTCCCTCTCTTAGCTCAGTAACATTCAACAGACAGGCACCACTGCTTAACCGTGACAACAGACACGTTTCACTACTTAAAACAAGACGTTATGAGCTACTTGTTTTAGACTTTAGATGCAGTGAAGTTTGGTTTGCAAAATACAAATTCAGAATTTCGCTGTAATTCTGTGATAAGTCTTTGTATATGTTGTATCCACTTTCAACATTTTTCTCATTAAAAAAACATTTTTAATCCTTGAGAAAGGGCAAACACAAGCAACACAAAAAAAGTTGGCAAAATACTTTTTCAGGTTTTAAAGAATAGTTTAAATGTTGTTTGAATTGTGTATATGAACAACTGAAACTTGTGGAACAATAATTGTTAAAGCTACTGAAATACTTTTCAGAAAACTTTTAAAATACTTGAAAGACTCATCATCAGATCAGCTCATTGAGTGATTGAAATCCATCATTTCCATAAAGAGCCACTTTGCATGAGCAGCAGCATGCTCCAGTGCTCGGGGAGAGTTTAAAGTCCTGAGAGTTGAACACTGCAGGACTGACAGTTGTCCTTCATCACAACAGGAGCCACAGAAATCCTCCTCCTTCTCATCCAAAAACATGACTTTGATCTGCGTCCTCATCTGGACTCTCCTCCTCTGCTGCTGCTTCACAGGTAAAGTCCAGACAATCAAACTCCTCTCCTCTATGAACATCCGTCTCTCTGAAATGAAGCCCACACAACCCTGATGCTGCTTCATGTGTTTGTCTCTGTCTCCTCAGAGTCCAGAGGACAGGTCACAGTGACTCAGCCTGCAGCAGTGAGATCTGCTCTGGGAGCCTCCGTCACCTTATCATGTACAACCAGTGAGGATGTAGATACTACGGCGACGATTCGACTTAGCCGCAATCTTTGAGCTACAGGCGGCAAACCAGACTTAGCCTGGTACCAACAGAAAGATGGAGGAACTCCTAAACTGCTGATTTACTTGGGTAGCACTCGAGTATCGGGGACTTCAAGTCGTTTTACAGGCAGTGGATCAAACTCTGACTTCACTCTGACCATCAGTGGAGTCCAGACTGAAGACGCAGCAGTTTATTACTGTCAGAGTGTACATATCATCAACAGTGAGTTTGTGTTCACACAGTGAAAAAGCGTCGTACAAAAACCTCCCTCAGTCAGCCTGAACAGAAACCAGACTGACTGCTGCAGCAGGAAGCTTCTGCAGAGACTGACACACTTCACTGAGGACACACACTCAAACACTACACTGACTGGTTTCCATCACCTCTTCCCTGTAATACAAAAACTACACAATCAGTTATTCAATATCATATATCTCCACTATACAGTACTTAGCATTTCAAAATGAACCCTTGGCATATGTCAGATATTTATGAAGAGATTTTTAGTGTTGTCCTCGTTCTCTTCTCAAAGGTGACTTCAAGAGAGTGTGGGGTAAAGCCGATCACAGAGCCAGCCTCTTTGATCAGCTTATTTATCCTATTTGTATCATCCAAACAGAAGCTGCCCCCCCCCCAGCACAGAACAGCATAAAAGAGGACACTAGCCAAGATACAAAACGTACAGAAGGTTCTTGCTAAAGTCAGAGGATCTAACCTTCCTTAAGAGTCTTGACTGAGCCTTCTTTAAAGACACATCAGTGTCCTTTTTCCAATTTAATGTACTGTCCAGGAAGACACTGACATATTTATGAAACTGAACAGTTTGGATCTGCTATGAGGGGAAACATCGTCTTTCTTTCTTCTAAAATCAATAATATGTTCCTTTGTCTTTCCAACATTCAATATGCATCACACCAGCTGACTAAAGATTCAATCTCTGTTTTTGTTGGTCAGATTGTTGCCTTGGGTAAGTAGGTGCACGCGTGCAGTAACATCTGAAAACTTGTGGACATGATGCCTGTGCACACTAACACAATCAGGACCTGGAGAGATGTCAGTGGGGCTGCTACACACTGCGACACAGGGAGCACAACAGAGCTGTTGGGGGTTCAGTGTCTTGCTCTAGGACACCTCTATAACACTCGGAGAGTGACCTGGGACCTGGCAGCTTCCATACTTTGATGTGTACAGAGACTTAAACCAGCGACCCTCGGTTCCCAAACAAGGTCCCTACAGACTGAGCTACTGTCGCCACAAATATATAAAATACAGCGCCTGCTCTATCAACTGAGCTAAACTGGTGCCTGCAGAGGAAAGGTTAGTCTGCACTGACAGAACTATATGTGTTGTATAAGACTCTTTAAGTCTTTTAAAGTCGTCGACTACATCAGAGTTACCAACTTGTTTCCATTAGAGTCCTCCTAATTATATCCAAGAAAAGAAGAGCACCCCAAAGCACTCACATGTAAAAGAAGGGGTTTACTACTGTCAATAATTAAAAAACATTTCAATTGTTTTAATTGATGAATATCTATTTTTTCGAGTTAAGTATTAAATCGTTTTCTTTTGACATCCCAACAGAATATGCAGAACAGTCTTAACCCTAACCCTACCAAAAAGCCTTTGAATAAACTTTTCACAATGTGTGTTCTCATGATTTTATCTATATATTTAAATCTAATTTTGACAACCACAGAGCAGGCATTGAACAAAATGCCAGAAGCAATGTTTTATCACTTTATGCTGATGATATCATCCGTTTTATTTGTAACACATTTCTTACCCACCTTCATTATTTTCAGAGATTTAACAAATCAACACATCAGTCATCAGATTGAGACATTTCACCATCTTTAACAGCAGATTTTGATGATATAAGATTATTTGGAAGTTTTCCATTGCTATTTTTTTTTATTCTTTAGATGAACTTACCAAAGTCCGTTCAAAAATTGTTAACCTGTTAAGAAATGAAAGATATGCACAACAAACACTGTTTGATTCCATTTTTATTCTTTTGCTCAATTTAAGAAAAACTGTCAATACAAAAGGTAAGAAAAATAAACGTTGAAACATAAAATCATAGAGAGGGAAAGAAGGCATTTAGCGTGTAAACTGAGGGCAGTTTCAGAAGTGAAACAACAGCAGGGAGAAACCAGCAGCAGAGTCCAGGTGATACAGCTCAGTCCTGGGAACACTGGTCCCTCCTCAGTGTCTCTGAGACCAGCGTCTGGGAGCCCTGGGTGGCCTCACAGGTCACAGAGCCCACCTTCGTCCACTGGCCTGCAGAGAGCCTCAGGGTGCTGCTCCAGCTGTAACGAGCGTCCTGCTCCATCACCGCAGGGCCCCTGCTCTCCTCCCAGCTGCCGCCGCTGATGCCGTCCACCTTCCAGGCCAGACTCCAGTCTGAGGGGAAGCCCTTGTTGGCCAGGCACACGAGCGTGGCCTTCCCCTGCTGCAGCTCCTCATTGGAAGGGGGCAGAACCATCAAGGTGGGACGGGCTTCACCTAGGAGACACCAATCAGAACAGAGGACAGGAACCACACAGCTGTCAGTCAAACACATCACTCCTGGACACCTTTGCAGTTGAAAGCAGAGTTTCTCCTTTAAGGAGTTTCTGTCAGATGTTTTTTTCTGCTTCAGCAGTCACTCACACATTGTTTCACTTCCCTCTCAGAAATCTGTCATGCAAATCAACACAGAGACGATCATCGTACAGAGAGACCAGAATACACTGGACTTAAAATATATAACGCTGAAAAATCATCAAATCACTCAAACCTTTGAAATACCTATTTTTCTAACTTGAGTGGAAACATGAACCAAATCTATCAATAAAACATGTTTTAAATCATAAAAGGCTAAAAAATCTTAAGTGACATAATCTGCAGAAAGAGATCAGAGATTTTGAACATTTTCATTCAAAATTCTTACAACTTCCCTTTGAGCAATTTATTCAAAATGACAAAATGAAATAAGGGCCTTTAAGAGTTATCGTTGATGTGGAATAGATATCTGAAACCAGAGAATTATTTTTTATGAATCTGAAGCTGCTGAACTGAATGTAAACGATCTGTCCTGAGATGGTACAGGAGGACAAACACAAACAGGAAAAAAATATAATGTAAAAATGTATAAATGTTTCTTTATATTGTAAATGAAAAAAAAAAAATCACGATTACATTACACTGTTTAGAAATCAACAGAAACTTACCTCCGACATCCAGTCTGGTTCCTCCACCAAAAGTCCACCACAGTGATACAAAGTCACTGAGTCGCCGTACAAAAACCTCTCACTGCACAGAGACACGGCTCTCTGACTTCAACACATCGTACTCAAACTACCAGCCCTCAAGATGCAACTTCACCTTTACAATGATAACACTCATTTACTCTGGAACAAATGATGACTTGGCTTCAGATTTGACATTTATTTTGATACGATTTTGTGTTTCATTAAAAATTCGTTTTTAGTCTAAATACAGAGAAAAACATGCACACAAATGTTTGGGTCAGTCATTTTCAGTCTTGCATTTCAAAATAAAATAATCTCTTGACATACAAAGGGTTAATATTTGACTTACTTCCAACATCCAGTCTGGTTCCTCCACCAAATGTGTACCACAGTGATGCAAACTCACTGAGTCGCCGTACAAAAACCTCTCACTAAAGAAAGTAAAAAAAATGCTCTTGTCTGCAAAACCTTCAAATGAACTGAAAAGTATAAAGAATACATTTCCATTAATATTCAAAATTAAGACATTTTATTCCGGGGATTTCTCCAGAAGCATGAACACGGTTTTAAAAACATGTCTTATTGAAAGTTAAAAAATTAACTTTATAATTAGTATAATCCAAGTCCCCAGTTAGTCAGAGCATTTCCATAAAGAGCCACTTTGCATGAGCAGCAGCATGCTCCAGTGCTCGGGGAGAGTTTAAAGTCCTGAGAGTTGAACACTGCAGGACTGACAGCTGTCCTTCATCACAACAGGAGCCACAGAAATCCTCCTCCTCCTCCTCTCCAAAAACATGACTTTGATCTGCGTCCTCATCTGGACTCTCCTCCTCTGCTGCTGCTTCACAGGTAAAGTCCAGACAATCAAACTCCTCTCCTCTATGAACATCCGTCTCTCTGAAATGAAGCCCACACAACCCTGATGCTGCTTCATGTGTTTGTCTCTGTCTCCTCAGAGTCCAGAGGACAGGTCACAGTGACTCAGCCTGCAGCAGTGAGATCTGCTCTGGGAGCCTCCGTCACCTTATCATGTACACCAGTGAGGATGTAGATACTACTCGACGAACCCGACTTAGCCTGGTACCAACAGAAAGATGGAGGAACTCCTAAACTGCTGATTTACTCTGGTAGCACTCGAGAATCAGGGACTTCAGATCGTTTTACAGGCAGTGGATCAAACTCTGACTTCACTCTGACCATCAGTGGAGTCCAGACTGAAGACGCAGCAGTTTACTACTGTCAGAGTTATCATATCAACAGTCAGTGTGTTCACACAGTGAAAAAGCGTCGTACAAAAACCTCCCTCAGTCAGCCTGAACAGAAACCAGACTGACTGCTGCAGCAGGAAGCTTCTGCAGAGACTGACACACTTCACTGAGGACACACACTCACGAATGTGCGCTCAGTTTAGTTTACTGTCCTGCAGACTCTTTTACCTAAAACAACTTTTCAACTTACACAATAACAGCCAATGTTTAGGACGGATAAAAGCAACACATAGCAGTACTTGAATAAGAGAGGAAGCAAACACAGTATAAAAGGTGTTCACAAATGTCCAACTGAACCTGGGCCTTAAAGCCCCGTTTCCACCAAGCGGTCTGGTTTGGTTCAGTACAGTCTGACACGGTAAACCCTGATCTTGTTTGCGTTTCAACAGCCAACCGTACATCATAAAACAACAGCGGCACGACAGACAGCCAAGACATTCAATAAAGAAGAAGAAGAATGTGACACAGTAAATAAAAATGAATGATTGCATCTCCCAGGTCGTCCAGGGCGGAGCTACGGCTGACATATAGTCGCATAAAAACAAAAACAGCCTTTTAATGACTCTCTCCAAAACGGTGCGTTTTGTGTTTGTCCTTTATTACCGCTGTCAAGTGAAGATTCTTCTTTCGACCAATCAACAGACTGCAGTGTTTCTAGCTCCAACCTTTAGAGTCGGTTCAGTACGCTTGGCACCCCAACAGAAGCGTGCCAAAAAAGTATTCATGACAGTAGAAACGCCAATACATGTGTACCATACCGAACTGAACCGGACGGGTTCTTAAGTTTCTAACTACACTCTTCTCCTCTGTCGCCCCCCGGTGGTGGAAAATAATTCCAAACTTCATTGGATCCGCAGAGTCCCTTTGCACCTTTAAGAAAAAGCTAAAGACCCAGCTCTTTATGAACACCAATGACCTTCATGATGATGATGAAGATGAAGATGGTGTTGTTTGGTAATGATGATCACGATATTTAGGATGGTTTTGATGCTGATTAGAACTCTAAAGAACAGCTGTTGAAGTTGTGCTTTCCTGTCAGCATCTGTGTGTCAGATCAGACTGAAAGCTGTTCATTTGCACTTACTGACTTTGTTTCCTCCTCTCTAGATCCTCCCTTGTGTTGCACTTTGGATAATAGCGTCTGCTAAGTGAATTGTAGAGTTGAAGTGACTCTGAAAGATTAAAAGTCCCAAACCTCAAAGGCACAGTTTCTTTTCCTTTCAAGTGATCACAGGTATCTGGATCCTGCTTCTCCATTCAATGCAAAGTGTGTGAAAACAAAACCTTGACTGGCTCCTTTCTGGATCCATAAAAGAAACAAACAGTCAAATGGAGTCAAAATATTCAACCTGAAATAAGATAAAACAAGTCAATATGTAGAAAACTGATATACTCTGTAAATAGATAAGAAAATGCACGAGCATCTTCTTAGAAACACATAACCATCAAATCTTCACACCCATTACATCATCATTAATTTCAAGAACTACTCAAGAACTACTGAAATGTAGCTTCATGCCACACGCTGTGACTACGTCAGCTGAATGTCCTCGTCTCTATGAGGTGTAAAGTGATCCTCTTCAGTGAGTCCTTACAGGAGAGTCTCTGTGGAGACTGAATGAGCTGCTTCACTAACAGTCTGGATTTATTAACTGAGTCTGGAGGATGAACTGAGCAGGATATAAGGCCATTTTTAAAAGACGTACTCTGCTGCCCTCTGGTGGCTGAATGAGGGAAATGATACTGACAGAGGTACAACATTGTCTTGTTGAAATAACACACTGATAATTATAAATGAAACTATTCATCAAACGGAAGAAGACAATGCTTTAAAGCAAGATGAATGAAACATACAAGACGACAAGGACACATTTTTTAAGCATGGAGATAATTATAAGAAGAACTAACTCAAGACATCGTATTTCATTTAGAACCAATATTATAAAATCAATATACTACCTAAAGCTAATACATCCTTAACAAAATAATACTGTCAATGTTATGGGGAAGATGTGGCTTAGAGGTACAGTGGTTTGGTTGTCAGAAAAGTTGGTGATTCGATCCCCAGTTGAAGCAACCCAAATGGTTCCTGAAGGCATCACCATCAGTGTGTGATCGGATTGATGGACAGTTTGGCTCGTCATGACCATAGACTGTAAATATTACTGGAGAACCCTGACCCGTCTGTTACATAGACAGAAAATGAGTCCAATCGACGGCCGCATCCATATTGGATTTGCAGTCTCAACCTAACTTCGGATCAACCTAACAGCAGTAAGGCGGGACTTAACTCGCCCATTCAGCTCGACGTCAGCAGTCCACTTCACAGCATAGCTAACAGCTAGGCTGCTATCATCAACTATTCCTGCTCATCCTGAGAAAACTAAACAGTAAGTTAACATTTAACTTTTCTACAACACAGTTAAAACTAATTATATTCAACCCAAATATTTAATTAAAGTCTTAAAACTACACTTTTTTAAATATACAATCATGGTTATTAGTTATTTGTCAGAGCAGTTAGACTTTGTCAGTGTTAGCAGAGAAATACATTAACAAAGTTTTATCCATAGACTGTAAATAAATATGAGACATCCAGAAAATCAATATTACAAAGCATACAGTTCATGTTACTGTTCTGACAAAAAGAGGAATGTCTGTGTTTTATATTTACTGATGTCAACAGCGATGAGGTGAACATGACAATTGAAAAATAAATATTTAGTATTTATTATAAGATATTTGTTTTCTATTGAACCCTGTGAAGTCATGGAGTCTGTGGACAGTGTCAGCTTCACACCAAAAACTAAGTATTAGAAAAAGTAGTGTTTAAGACTGGCATCTATTATGATGAGTTGCAGCTACCTTGTTCAATATTATTCCTGCAGATGTGGCTAATAACAAAAAAACAGCCTGAGCTGTCACATGTAGTTAACTGTACATTTTGTCTGAGGCATTAATTGAACACCTTTGTATTTCTCCTATAGACACAGTGTGGATTATTGGTGACTGGTCCATCGAGGTGCCCAGAGAGCTGCAGAGACAGAGGAAGAAACCTGAGCCTCAACAACATCTGTATTTGTTGGTTCTTCTGGGGTGGACTTCAGTTGCTTCTCTTCAACAGCTCGCTGTGAGGGAGGTCTCCCCCGGATGGCCTGAGTGATGTCACCCACAGGCTGAGAGCTGAGGCGGGTTTTAAACCTCCTGACAAACCGTTACACCGCGCCCACCTGTCAAGCTGGTCAGCTACACGCCTTATTGTGAATAACTCTTATCCTTCATCAAATCAAAACTGATGAGTCATCAAAACATTCACCCCCCGTACAGTGTGTGTCCATCGAGACATGAGCTAATCACACCTATTTGTTTGTTTTGTACCAAACTGTAAACATGTTAATCTCTGCTATAAAAACAGACTTTTTTTAATGTTGTTTTTCAGATTAAATAAATATTTCTATATAAATGCACTCCTTTATGTCTACTTATGAGTATACATTTCAGATTTGAAATGACAAGACAAAATGTGCATTAATGCTCAACTCAATAGCTTAGGGAAGGAAGTCTACTTTTACACAATTTTATTCTTTTGATAAATACTAATGCAGTTCATTTCTTAAAATGGGATGGAACAGAGTCATTGCAAAATGATGACCTTAAACACACCCCATTCTTAAATCAAGATACATGGAGAGTAAATAAGATCAATAACTTGTGAATAAAAACACAGTTAAAAATGATTTAGAAATG